GGGGCAGAGACGTCGGCTCCGTGGCGGGGGCAGCTGGATGGGGGGCTTGTATGGTGTCAAACAGACAGGAGCCACATTGACCCCCCCCTCACACCCCCAACCTGCAGTCAATTAAAGGGATGAGAGTGGTTGACAGGTGGAGGTAAAAATAACAGTTCTGAGGCGCCACCTGCAGGTCAAACATCTGTCGTTGGTTTGTTTTGTTTTATTGATGAATCAAATGAACCTGCAGGTCAAACATCTGTCGTTGGTTCTAGTTCTAGAACAAAGTTCCTTCAACAGGTCTAATACTGCATGAGTACTGTACTGTATACAACAGTTTAGGTTGTCTCCAGGGGGCGCTCTCACTACCACATCTGCCACAAGCTCTTAAAATATTTTTTTCATTATTTATTTATTATTTGATCACAAATATTCACCAGTTTAACAAATGCTAAGACAAACCCAGGTCAACGTTCTCCTACGTGGTTCCTCTCAGAACCTTTAATACCTACCTGTTCCCTGGGGGAACCTTTTTCACGCTGGACCACAGGAGGCACAACGTTACAGAGACAAAGGTGAGTCGGAGTTTCTGTTTGTTGTTTTTGTTTTTATTGTCACAGTGACGTTCATGTGAACTGGTTCTTGTTCCGGTTCTCAGTCACACACACAGAACCCGCGGCTCCTTAGAACTGATCACTGTCAGCTAGAAAGTTACGGAACTTTCTGTAAAAGTGACTCAACATCAGTGTCTCACCGTGTAATAATTATTAAATGTTGCCCTCACCTGGTGACTGCTGGGATTGACTCCAGATCAGTACCACGGTGATCATAGTACCTCGTAGTACGTATTAGTTGTTCAGTCCTTAAAGCTCCCATGGTGCATTGCTGTAGTTGAGGTGTGTTGTCCTGTGAGTGGTAGAAGGTAAATCACCGACTGAATGAATGGATGGATGGATGTTCTGACAGTCGTCTTCTGTCAGTTCCATCTTCCACCAACAGGTGGAGCCACTGTAACCACAGAGAAGACACAACACCTGCTCTGTTTCTGTGGATGTCTGAGGAACCTCAGCAGAAGTTCATGGTGAACACTGCTGTCATGGCAACAGGAGTGAGGTGCTGACCTCTGACCTCTGACCTGTGTCTGACATTTTCATAGTCAGAAATGTTTTTGTTTTTCTTTCGTTCTTCTCCACCGTGAGTTCCTCTGACAGCTGGCAGGAACATGGCACAAATGAGAGAAATGAAAAAAAAAAAATTCACAGTCACTGTTTTTTTTTTTTTTTACTGTGAGATCGTTAGCAGTGATGAGCTGCTGCAGAACCCTGGGAACCGGCGTTCTCCAACATTCTCTCGCTCCGATGGAGCTCTGTGAATTCCTCCTCTCGCTGTTTAATGGGAATCAGAATAAATGAGACGCCGCGGTGCCTGGATCAGCAGCGAGGCGTCTCATTAATCGGTACTGAGGCGCTGATGACACTCATTTTTCAGACTAAGTGTCTGCTGTCTTCCTGCCTCCAGGCTCTGGAACAACAAGAAAAAAGAGTTCCAATCAGAGGCACCGCTGAAGGCAGCACTGTTTATCTCTGCCGAGTACCAATTACAGCGCCACCTGTGTCTGAAGGAAGAACGACAGTGGGACGGTAACACCTGGTCCAGTTCTGTTCATCTGAACTCTGCTCTTTTCTCACCACCTGTTGGTACCGATCCGACCCTGTACTGTACAGAACTGGACTGTTCATGTATTTGTGTAGTACTTTGTCAGTACTATCAGAGTAGTACTCCAAGTCCTGCTGCTCACAACGTCTTCCTCCTCTTCTTCTTCATTTTCTTCTCTGACTGTTCAGCTCCTGGTGCTGAATGTGAGGTGGTCACGTTGTCACGTTGATCCTTTTCTCCTGGTCCATTAGCCAGGCCTTGTTCCTGTGGTTATTATGGGGTGGCTGAAGGTTGATGGAGTGTAGCCTGAAGACATGTCCAGTCTGTGGGACAAAGAGCTGGACACCAGACAAAGAAGCACTTTACATGATGGACCACCAACAGTACCAGGTTCCAGAGTACAGAGTACACTGAATATATGTCCTTCAATTATCGTCGCAAACTGTCGCTGTGTATATTCCATATATGTACTTCTTTAGTAGAGCTGTCGCTGTGTATATTCCATATATGTACTGCTTTAGTAGAGCTCCTACATTATATATATATATACACATATATAAAGTATATATGTACATATTTATATATGTATGTATATATGTGTATATACATACAGTATATGTTTGTATATATATTTAAATACATTTATATATTTAAATGAATGTATATATATTTTTAAATATATTTATATATTTAAATGAATTAATTCTGAGTCTCATCTTCAACTTAGTGTTAAAGTAAAGGCCGGTGATGAAGATGAAGATGAAGACTTCTGTCTTATAAGCAGCTGCTCCCTGTAACTGATGGATCCCTTCAACAGTACCAAAACACTTTACGTCTTTTTTACGTCAGACTCATTAGGTTTTTTTCAAACAGTAAATATAAGTTTTGAGTTTCTTTCTTTAAAAAAAAACAAAACAAACCCCGTTGATGAAGTCGACTGTCATCTGTAGGGGAGTCCCTGTACTCGCACACACCCCGGGTCGGGTCCCCGTGCACGTGCTGACCAGACTGTACAGAACCGGAGCGGTCACGCGCTTCAATCACAGCGAACGGAAAGTGACGGCGGCGAGGAAAGAAGAGAGGAGAGTGTGGGAGAGTGGGGCAGAGTGGAGGCTTTTGGTCGTCGCCGTGGAGAGGTTGGAGCAGCGGCTGTCTGCGGCTCTCACTCACTCTGAGGAAGACTCGCTCACTGACGGCGTCCCAACATGAACCAGACCGCCACCGTGTCCCACCAGGTCCAGGTCCACTCCACCAAGACCATCAAGGTATTTACCGTGTGCGCGTGTGTGCGTGGACGTGTGCGCGTGTGTGTCACAGAACTTCTGCTCGTGCTCAGACGTGTTTTGTCAGAACATCTCGGAGTGGTTCCACAGCCGCTGGGTTCTGACCCGGAGCTGGAGAACCCCCTCAGACCGAGGACCGGGTCTGTGTGAATGACTTCCATTCATGTGTGGACGGGTTGGACCCGGACTCTGGTGCAGTGCTCACAAATATTCACATCACGTCTCTGCTCTCACTATTAGTATTACTGTGCTGTGCGTGTACTCGGTTACTCTGGCGGACCCAGAAAAATATAAATGGGAGCTGGGGTGAGGGGTGGGGGGTGTAGATGATCATGGTTCCTGTTCTGGTTTAGCCACTGTTTGACAAGAACTGACAACATGGTTCCACCTGTGGATATATATATTGTAGTACTCGATGAGTGCAGTGTACTGTAGTATACGGTCCTTGAAATTTAATGAAAATTTTGTTGCATGAGTGCAGTGTACTGTAGTATACGGTCTTTGAAATTTAATGAATACTTTTGTTGCTAACTTGCCAACAGCAAAACATCATAACAATCATTTACTTTGTGTTCACGCAGTATAACAGTATACTCCAGTCAAGTGTAGTACTGATATTTACTCGAGTCTCCATCAACATCTACAACAATATTTTTAAATATTTGTTTCTGGCTCCTGTACTGTAGTACTGCTGAAACCGTAGTACTAAAGTGAAGTGCAATACTTACTAACGTGCAGTACCTACATATATTTGTCCTACTGCTAAATTCATATTCAAGAATATTTTTTTATTTTTCTTCTAGAATTCTTAAATTGTGTCTAATTCTACTACTACTACTATTTGTACTCGGTGTAGTACTCCTACTACTGGCTGATGTTACAGCGAGTGTACTCATGTATACAGATTCTGTTTAATCTTCATCTTATCTTAACCAGCCGTCCTTAGTACATATTACTGCAATATTACTGCGATATTTAAAACTTTCTACACTGCAGTATTTCCAACATTTATGAATATTTCTCGGTCAGTTTTACTTGGTAAGAATTCAGACCCGGTTCTTTGTTGTTGACGGTTGTAGCCTCGGTGTCAGAGAAGCTCAGCTGTTGTGTTATTATGGTCTGGTTGTCATGGTAACTGGAGAAGCGCGTGCACGTCGGTATCTGCAGTGTCTTCTCTGTACTGTCCAGACCTGGAGGAAGGAGCGTGGAGTGATGCGGGGGTGGGTGGGGGTGAGGGGGGTGTGAGGGAAAGTACACAGTGGTATC